GAGCTTACCACCAAAGGTCTTTATAAAGTAGTGGCACTTTAAGCAGTCATCTTGCTCCCGGCCCATCATCCCAGTCCTACAATGATACTGAGGGCTCTAAAGATCACCCAATTCCAGCAGCTAACGGCTTTAAGAAAAACCCCAAAATAGTGCGATTCATGGTAAAAATCATGCAAGTTGGCTGGCTCTTTGTGCTGCCCCGTGACCCTCAAACTTTCCTAACAAAACTAGTCCACCCACCAGAGCCAGCAGAGGTAACACCATGTGTTGAGATCTCTACAGCTCTCCCATGCTGAGAAGGGTCAGGCCAGGACAGTATGAAGACAGGAGACCTCCATGGACTAAAGAAGGTGCTGTAGGAAGTGGTGTGGGGGATTCAGCCTGGGACGCTCTTCCTGCTGTCTGTGCTGAATCAATGCCACTGTACAGGGCTAGGAGGCGCTTGGTTTTGAATGATACGTAAAACCAAGGTCCCAAGCATGTGAAGGTAATAAAGATCACCAGAAGATTTTAGGAACTCTAAGGTTATGATTCATGAGCTCTCGTGTCCCGGGGTAGTTTCCAACTTAGGTAACTAACTTCTGCTGACCTAAATCCTTCCCCATTTGCATTTAAAATCAGATACAGAATTCTTCTTCACTTCCTGTTGTGTAGCATCGTATGCTGTTAACAAGCTGCTGCCTTCTACCGCAAACATGGCTGCATTTCAGACGCTGATGAAGCATTCCCTGCGTGCATGCAATCTATGGAGGGCGTTGTGTCAAAAGGTGTTGCGCTGTTGTCATTATTATTATTATACTTTAATTATTTACCATCCAAGATTACCCCGAGGGGGAAGGGAGACAGTTAGACGCTGTGAAAAGACAGTGCCCTGAGCAAAATACGAGGCTGAGTGAGCTGGAACTGAAGCAGCCATATTAGGAGTATTTGGCAGAGAGTAGAGACAGCAGAGAACAGGGGATGGGCGGAGGTGTGAAGTGAAGCAGGGAGAGACGGAAAAGAGGGATCAAGCTGGTGAAAAGCAGAAAGACCAGGACAGGCCAGGAATTAGAAAGAAGAGGAGGGAAAGTGTATCCTGCTTGAGTGAGCCGCTGTAACCAGATCCCCTGCATGCATTGCTGAGGTTTTACACAGGTTAAATTTAGTACCAAACGTACAGCTCAGCAGAACAGGTTCCTGAGGAAGATGTAGTTGGACTCGAAGGAGTTTGCATCATGCTTAAAACAGGCAGTGCCAAGCCGCTAGCCATTCCTAACAGGGGTGGGGTTGGGGGAGCAGCCTTCTCACCTGCTTTTCCCTTCTAGGGTGTTGGAAGAGCTGGACCCTGCGCCCCGGAGGGCAGCTTCCCTGCAGGCGGATGGGCTGAGGACCAACCAGTACAATGCCTCAGGAAGGAAGGGAAGGGAAGTGGGCCAGGCGATACCCCAGCACTAAGAAGTACCAACTGGTGCTGAACAAGGAAACTGCCACATCAGGACACGCTAACAGTCCTTCTAGCTGGGACGCGTGTGGTGTGGCTGATGCCAACTGCTCCTGAGCGGAGACATGCGACGTCTGCCAGGAGAGGGTATTTTTGTGTGCGTAATACTGTCAATGACCACAGGCAAAGACAAGAGAGGGGCAGGGGTGCCTTGGGGTGGGCAGAGTTAGGATGGTTTTGGCTGTTTGAGCGGGGAGGAGGGAGGTGAGATCCCTCTTCACCAGGGAGGGGGTCAAAGAGAGGTTGGCAAAGGAAAAGGATTAGAGGGGTTTGTCAATAGGAGAAAGAGTATGGGGAGGGCATTTCAACTTTTTCCTTCTCTCACCCCGATTCTGTACTTACCTGGTCAGATGTTCTTACTTGAATGCCTGGTAGCTAGAGGATGTACTGATGGACTCCATGGAGGCGGGGGTGCTGGTCGCACTATGAAATCTGGGGTCAGAGTCAAATCTGCCCTGCCTGAAGATGATCTTCCTCCGCCCCCCTGCTGCCTGTATAAAACCTTCTCCTCAGCATGCCTGTCCCTCACCTGGGAGCACTGGAGGACCTCGTCCTGCTCGTAGCCAGCAAGTGATGTTTTCCGAGCCACGTGAAGCACCCTTCCACCCCAGATGACTCAGTACAAGCGCTCTCGCCCTCCCCACCTTCTCATAGCTCGTGAAGCCAGAGTGCCTGGCTCTCCCTCTTGGCAGGGCATAGACCAATCTACAGGCCACTGAGCCAGGGTACAGCAATCAGAAGAGCGGATGTCCCTAGGTTGTCCATAGAGGGGTTCTGGTCTACAGCGCCAGTCTGTTATTTTAATTACATGTGCCTCTATAAATCAGGCACATGATAAAGGACAAAAATCCCAGCAGCACCATGCATTTTATTGGCTGAATCCTAAGGGCCTGATTCCCCTGTCATGCCAATGTAATTCTACTGACTTCACTGGAGTTACTCCTAACCTACAGCAGTGTGAGAGCAGAATCAGGCCTTTAGTCCTTACTTAAACAAAGCTCTCCCTGAGCTGAAGGCCACAAGGCTTTCAGCCCTGGCCTGAGAATACCAACACTGACTGTGCTACTGAAAGACTTGCTGGCTGGCTGGTCGGTCATCCTATTTACATACTGTACCTTGATGTCATCACATTGGTCCCAAAGACATTTTAGGATGTTTATAGGACAACATGTTAAAAAGAAAGTGCGTTCCATTGTGCACCTATGTTCATATGCATAATTACTGCAACAGCATATGGGGTGTTTCAGGTGGTGAGATCTGCAGAGGAGAAGGCTTTCACGCCAACAGTGGCCAGATTGTTTGGAGGAACAGATGAGTTCAATCTTAGCCAGCCAGCAGGAAAAGGGGAGGAAATATAGAGAGACAACCTTCGTAAGGTTGGCTGGAGCAACTCCGTGGAGGGTTTTAAAAACAAGTAAGGCACTAAGTGCTGCAGTGATCCCAGTAGAGTTGGCTTGAGTTTGTGGATGATGGAATTATTGTTTTTGGTGCATCTAAGAAGGTAAGATGTAGCATCCTGCATAGCCTGGGAAGCTAGGACTCAGGGAGACCATAGAGGATGGAGTCACAGGAGAGTAGTCGGGATAAGAAGAGAACGATGTTCATCTATAGCATGGAGGCAATGCACATCCCAGCAGGAAGGGCTATATCTTCAGTATTGCAATCCCAAGTGTTAAAAAATCATCAGCTAGGCCTGAAAAATAGAGATCTTGTAAATTAACAATTGTGGGGTTCTTGTTATTTTTCTTCTGGTGTCGTAGCCTTTAGAGGTCATGTTGTCAGACTTTTTCTGGCTACAAACTTACTTTAAAAAAATGAAAGCTGAGATTCTCATGTAATCATAGGACTCCTGGAGCAGGGGCTTTGAGAAAAGCACCCAAATGCCAAGAGTTGGTAACTCTGTATCTTGTTCTGTGCAGATGCTACATTTCACGCTGGGACCTGTTGTCCCCACTGTATCAAAGTTGAGGTTGGCTACTGACACATTCTTTATTTAACGGGGATTAAGGTGTGGCTTCCAGACTCCTGCCAAATCACCTAAATGGATGTACATATCCAAGTGCCTTACGCAGTCCACAGGAATGCCCTTAGACAGGCTATCTAGTCTACATAGGTTCTCATACCACCTTCATCACCATAGTACCTGAGCACTTTTTAGTCATGCATTAAGCGGTATGACTAATATCTGACGTGCGAGTTGTTCTTGCTCTTTTCTCAGTGAGACAACTGTGTGCAATCCAGGGTTTTGTTTTGGTAGGGTTTTGATTTTTTTTAACATACGCACTGCTCTGGGTTTATGTTCAAGAAGGCAAGTTGGAAAAGTGCACTTTGCTCTTGGAACAGAAGGTGGTGATGTTTGGGATGATTATTAATTCCTGGTGGAATTTGTTCTACAATTTAGTCTTGGATTGGGCCCTGAGAAAGCTCTGTCTCCTTCACAGACGTGCTTTACCCTTATTGTGGAAAGTTCTATTGTGCCACAGGAACGGAGGTGTTACCACGGTTTTCACTCCAGGGCTTTAGGCCCTTTTAACTACCCTGTGCCCAGACCATGGAGTGCCTTGAAGCTCACTTGATATTCTATAAGAAACCAGCATAGAAAGCAGAGAACAAGACTGATGTGCTTGCAGTACCCCATGTTGATCAGATGTGCTGCAGTGTTTTGCATTAACCAGCAGTTCCTAAGGGCTGATAGCTTCATGCCAAGTGTTGTATTGCTATTGTCCAAGCCAGACAGAGGTAGACGGGATACCAAAGGCCTGGTCATCATCCACCAGGCTGGGACAGACCCTCCGAGCCGACTGAAGATGGTAGAAAGTGTTATGTGCAGATGCTGCTACGCGATAGGACAGCGGGGAATCCAGCAGCGCGCCTCGCCCACGTGCTGAGTTTCCCTACTGAGGGTGTGCCTCTTCAGAGGCCGCCAATGCTTCCAAGGGCTTCCCTCTGCCCGCCAGCATCACCTCGGCCCTGCTCAGGTTCCGTCCCCGCACGCAGGGCCGACCAGGCGAGCTGGCTGGGTGTGGGGCAGGCCTGTGTGCGGCAGGATGGGGAGAGCCAGCAGCCCAGGGCCAGGGATCTAGCAAAGCCCAGCCCAGAGGCCTACAGGGCAGCCCACCTAGTTAGGCCCACCTGTCTCTCTAGATAATACCCAAATCCTTCTCTCCTTTGCCCTCTGCCCTTTGCCCTCTGACCCTTGCCCTCTGCGCTCTGTTATTTCACCTCCCCCGCCCCACAGGTCCACCACGCGAGCCCCACCCTACGCGTATGACTGAAGGCCGCTCCCAGCCTATTAAAACCCTCCGCTGCAGCCGGAGGCGGAGTGGGGAGCGAACGCTAAATGAAACGATCCAATCGGAAGCAAGGAAACCCGGTCGACCCGCACTGGCCAATCAGAGGAGGTGAGCGCGGAGGCGGGGCTGAGGCCGTAGCCAATGGGCGGGCACGTCGGTCGCTAGGGAGGCGTGAGGCCCCGGAGTGGGGAGGGGAGGCCGCGGGACGGGAGCTAGAGGGGGGGGAGGGAGGTAAACAAAATGGCGGCGGCGTGTTAGCTGCGGCGGCTGGAGGAGGCGGGGGCGAGGCGGCCCGGAGCGCTCGGAAGTGAGGCGGGAGTGGGGAGAGCGGGGCCCCTCCACAGGGACAGGGCGGCTGCGGGGTGCCCCCTGAGGGGGGTCCCCTTGGGCCGTGTAGGGGGATCGCCCCCCCCCGGCAGAGCTCCGGCTTGGGTAGGGGGAGCGGGGCCCCCGTTCAGGGGAGGCCGTTGAGGGAGAGAACAAGTGACCGCAGCTTCTCTCCGACCTCTGGGTGAGGGTAGGGCCAGCTCCCCCTTTAACTGATCTCCTGCCGGGGGGGGGGAGTCCTGCAAGGGGGGGAGGTGCACTCCCCCCCGACTGATCCCCTGTTAAGGGGGGGGGGCTGGGTGCGTTTGGGAGGGGTAAGGGCCACCTTCCTCTTGGGGTTGGCTGGGGGAGGTCAGCTCCCTTGGACTCCTGTTGGGTATACTGGGGGAGTTCATTTTTTTGCCCCTTTTGGGGGGCGTTTGCTGTGTGGTGACAGTGGGGGGGGGGGAAGAAATTAGCTGGATCAGTTCTTCCTGATTGACACCTGTGGGGCGGCTTGGGGGGTTGTAAATGGGAAGAAAAGCCTCAGCAACATTAGCATTTCCTGAGTGACCCCTCTCTAAGGGTGTGTTTCGGGGTCTTGTAAGGGGGAAAGAGCCCGCTCCTCCAATCACACTTTAAGGAGGGGAGGACAGGCTGGGTGAAGTTTTAGTAGGATTTGTGTTGTCTGCCTACCTGACACCTGGACCAGTGGTGGTGACACATCATGTGTCAGGCACAATCTGAGTGGTTGAAGGATGCCCCTGGGAGATATTGATAGGCACACAAGGCCTCAAACTTTCATAGGGGGGGGAAGAGAAGAAATTAGAATAGGTGTTGAAATCACCTTCCAAGAAACTTCGTTCCAGCTACCCAACGGCTGAGAAAATTATCTGAGCTCGTACCTGGGAGGTGAGGGTGGCAGGGGAGAGTAAATGACCCTGCAATTCGCAGTTTGGAATTGGGAACCATGATCTGCTAGTAATGGAAAGTCATGAAAAAGACTTGACCATCTTTTTGTTTATCTGTGGTTCTAAAGCCCTAGAGGATGACCTAGCACTTACGAACCAATTTGCAACCCAGTAGAAGGTCAAGCGAGAGCAAGCTGACCTGAAAGAACCCAAGTGGTGGGATCAGGTCAATAGTAAAACAAATCCCAACCTGAGAAAGTACCTGGTGAGACTTTTTTGTTTTTATTAACGAGACATTGAGTTGTTGGAACCAGGCACTGGAATTTGTAGGACCCTCCTTGGCTGGAAGCAGCTCATAGTGGGTTTTTTTTTTAATTAACGTTCGTACAATCTTCTGGAAAACTTTTATTTCAAGAAGGAGTAAAAGGGAGCGTTGGAAATTAAAGAACTGGATTAAAACCTTGAGCACTTAAGGAAAACAGGTTAAGGAACTCAATCCAGGATGGATGTGCAGGAGCCGCAGGAGTTGAGTATGTTTGCAGAGAGTGAACTGATGTCTGTGGGGATGGACACGTTCATCCATCGCATTGACTCCACGGAAGTCATCTACCAGCCACGGCGCAAAAGGGCCAAGCTCATTGGCAAATACCTAATGGGGGACTTACTTGGAGAAGGGTCTTATGGCAAAGTCAAGGAGATGTTGGACTCTGAAACCCTCTGTAGGAGAGCTGTCAAAATCCTGAAGAAGAAGAAACTCCGCAGGATCCCCAATGGGGAGGCAAATGTTAAAAAGTGAGTATGAGATTCCTATAGGTAATAATCAAAAGGTTAACTTTGGTCAGTATTTGCCAGCTGGCATTCTGTATTTTGTACAACACTGTGTATAGTCTTGCGTTTTGAAAGACATTTTCGAACTATATACATGCGAGAGTTGCTTCCCCTTGAAATGCAACCAACTCTGGGATAAAGAGTGCTCTCAAATACCACACAACAGTGGGGAACAGGGAAAGAAAACTTCATCTCAGAGGCATGGTGAAGCAAATGTTTCTACTTGTGTAAAACTTGGCATGTTACGGGTTCCCTAATGTCACAGAGCAGAAAGAACCTCAGTTTCTAAAGTCTTGTACAAAAGAGGCACATGGCTAATTGCATTGTGCTCACTTGGTCTAACCAAGGTTGTATAATTAAAACAAACTCTGCATAGTCATGTACATATGCAGTATTATCAGTGTGTGTTGCACTTAATAGCCCGTGTCCTAGGGACTGTGCATTCTAGGTACCTGTTATATAGGTGGCAGCTTGCTCCAGTGCATTTGCACCTAGTGTGCATCAGGGGACCTGGGGGTCTAGTCCTGGATCTGGTATTGATAAGTATGACCTTGGGAAGTCACTTATCTCTGTCTCAGTCAGTTTCTCCATCTGTAAAATGGGGATGATACTTGCCCACCATTTTTTTTAAATGTCACTCAAGATTTATGGTTAAAGCACTTTACGCAAGAGCGAAGTTATGTGTTGATAGATGTTTGTGCACAAACAGCTCAGTCCAGCAAAGCAGTTAAAGTACGTTGTAGGGATAAACCTGTTCTGTTTCATTAGCAAGCATTGTTCATTTTTCTTACCATTTCTTGATGTTACACTTAAAGTGCAATGACCCTTCAGAGACCACTGCATTTTCTGCAACAAACTGCTCAGTATAGCCATGCAAGATATGATTGTTTATCTGGAGTGACCAGGACTCTTCTGCTGCCAAAAAGAATTAATTCATTGCAACAGCTTATCTTGAAGCAGGAGGAACACTTGCAAGATGTTTTAGAAGTCTCTTGTGATGTTTCTGGTGTTACGTCTGCATGCTGTGTGTCGAGCCCTGACCTAGTGAACTCTTCGTGTTTTGGTTTGGAGGGGTGTGTGTTTTGTGTTGTGTTTTTTAAGATTAGCTGGATGATACTTCATGGTGTATTAGGCCTTCTGTCAATTAGCTCTCCAGGTTTACCTTCTAACCTTGAGAGTACAGAGTGAACCGGCTCAGCTACAGCATAATAATGAAATCAAACAGGGGACTTTGCTGTGTTGGCTCCAGTTCATTATAAAAGTAAACTGCTGGTTAATGTGTAATAAAATGTTTCCTGCAGTGTGTTTCTTGTCTCCCCCCCCCCCCTTTCGTCCCCTTCTCTCCCCCCCCCCAAGTTCTCCAGTTACATCAAGAACATCTCCAAAAAAACAGACAGGCTGCCTTCTCCTTAATTAAAACTTATTTTAAAAGCTCCTCCCTCCAAGTTCATAAGAATTCCTTGAATTAACCTATCAGCTTAATGGGGTGTGTGTGTGTTTGGGGGTGGGGGGGACTGTGGAAGAGGTCTTGTTCTGAAAGGAACTTGGATGTAGAAATCTCCTGTGTTCTGTTTGTTGTTTTTAGCTTCTCTGTGGATGTTTTTGTTCAGTTTCATCTAGCTGGTTTAGTTACCAGAGCAGTCTAGCCAGAAGATATTTTAATTTCTGAGACCAGCATGCGCTGTCTATTCAGTTGCAGCTGGCTATTACTAGCCATAGTTCCAAAGCACTCTATCGGAGTCAGGCTTTCACTTCAGTCTTCTAGCCAGGGTCTCTTTTAGCTCTATAACTGTACTAAAATGGCCTGTTTTTTATCACCTTTTCTTCCCTCCCCCACTCGTTTATTTCATCGGCTTGTTGCATCTTGTCTTTTAGATCAAACTTTGAGTCGGTGGCATGGCTTTCCATGGGGCCCTGCCCTAGTGGAAGCTTCTAGGCACTACTGCAATATAAGTGATAAGTCTCCACCTATTTAACCGTTGTGCTCAAGGCTTGTTGTGGCAGCCTATAGAGATATGGGGTGGTCTGGCTGGGCAGCATGGGTGGGGACCAAATCCCAGTAGTGACCTAACCCCAGATAGCACTGCATCTGAACACTGTTCTAATGTGGCTTGGTTCCAGTCGTGCTGGCCAGCCAAACGCCATTCAAACTTCAATCTGCTGCAGTCCGATTTGAGCAGCCTTACTTAAATGTGATTTAAACTCATTACCCCAGTGAGCTGTTCACATGCTATAGAAAATGGACTACTACCCGTTCTGAACTAAAACTAACTTCTGACATGACCTGACAAGATTCCACTTCCTTACTCCAAGATTATCAGAATGAATGAGTCTGCTGTCTATAGTCTGAGTTGTAACTTTAAATATATTGGGGCCTACTCCTAATCCTGCACGGTTTACTTCAGTGGGAACACAATTGGCACAGTGTTGTTGGCACACTTGCAGTTGTTTGCTCTGCAGACCCTTTGTGATTTGGCCCATAGTTAATAGTCAGGCTTCCCCCTTATTGCTCTGAGTTGAGGAGTAATTGTCCCTTTGGCTATGTGCCAACAATGCTTAAAAAGGACTGAATCGCTCTGAGCAGTTAGCCTAGGATACAGAGCCTCTAACCTCCTGATTAACAGTTTGCATGTGGTTCAGTTTGGTATGTCCTGAAACTTGCTGCTGCCTGATTGCTGCTCAGTGGCCGATTTGACCTAAGTTTGGTCTTGGCCTAATTCCCATTAGGCAGGCGTCCACATCACAAAAGTCACGTCTGTGACTAGCATTAGCTGATCTCCTTGGCCTCACCAGAGAGGCCCAAGGTAGAATGGGCTACAGGGACTGAGCTCCCTTCTCCCTAGAGATATGGCGCCCTCCAGATGAGGTTGAGGCACATAACTGGGGGGGTGGAGGAGGGAGGCTTGGTGTACTTTCTCTTGTACTTTACCGGTTGTGGGGATAAATGTTGATCTAACACCATTCACCAGCACAACAGTCATTAAAAAGTTAATACTTAAAATTCCTTACAACTTTTTTTGTAATCAACCGATCCCAGTGGAGATCACTGCCTCTCTCTGCATAGTGGATCAGATTCCCAAAATGTCAAAGGATATCAGAAATAGTCCTTAAACATCTGTTGTCAAAGGTGGCTGTAGTGTGTGACCCCATAAGATCAAGGAGATTGTGATTTGTTAATCCTTGGGAGGTCTAAAATTAACTTGCCTTGAGATTTCTCTTGTGTTCGTCATAATGAGAGACATGCGGTGTTCATAGAGCGCAGGGATTGTATTTCCAACCTCACCCCTACATCACTGCTTTCTATTTTGGGGAGGAGGGGTCAAAGGGTTGTGAGTGGCTCGCAGATTTTATTGCGAATGTACATGGTGAGGTTCCTGATTTGTCTCCTTAACCATAGGGCAGTCTGCTGCTGGACAAAAGTTTGATCTGGCTGTGACTTTAGTTATCTAACCTTAAAGCAGCCTGGTTTTTAGCTAATGCCATTCGAGAGCAAAATCTCTCTCTTTCTCTGCCATCAGGACCAGACCACCACACACTACTCTCTCCCTTTCCATTCCCCCAGTGGTGCATGCAGACAGAGGGCTCCTCCAAGCAAGATAAGGGTTGACATGGATGCATTACATTTAGCAGATAATATGGCCCTTTGCAACTGGACTTTCAAATTCAAGCATAGCTGAGTTTGGATGACAAAGTAACAACTGAGTGACACAAGCAGTAAGTTGGCGATTTGGAACTGTAGAAACCTTGCATTTGTCCAGACATTCTTGTGTTTACTGGAGGTGAAGTGTCAATGAGCGTAGTGCTCCCAGTTGACTCTCTGCTGGGTGTTTATCCCCAGCACAGAATCGCTGCATGATGGCAGAGTTATTGGTCTTTGCTCCAGCTAGAACAAGGGCTCTAAATGTATGATGTTGCGAGTGAGGGTGAAAGTGCCTTGGCATGGTGTCTGGGGACCTGGGGATCCTGTACAGAACACTCCTGCAGTACGGTTGACTTGTCAGTGCTAAGAGACCCTCACTTGCTTGAGTCTTAAGGGCCCATCTGTTCTACATATTCTGTCTGGGCACCAAGTGGCAATATAGGCACCGTCCTCACAGTGAAGAGTAAGCCGACCATGCTCCAGCCCTGATTTCTTGCTACCCATAGCTCTGTCCTCTAATATGATTGGAGCCATGATACTCCTAATCAAACCATGTTATTATAGTTGGGCACAATTGTATTGGAACCTGGTGCCCTAGCATGGCTGCAATTGCAGTGAAGTTAGAGCTATTTCTGAAATCCCATCATAAAACAATGATGCAGAGGGACCTGGTTACAACATGCGAGTCCCCGACTGTTAACACACAGTTTAATCCTGTCTACACCCTGTTTTGTTTTGTTTTCTTGGTTCCTGGCTAACGTCCAAGGCTCTAGCATGGTTAATACATGTTCCTGATTCATTTACGGGGCAAGAATAACTCTTTTAATTTTGTCTCCTACCACAGGAGCTTCATGGGCCCAGAAGTTGTGACCTCAGATGTTGATTTGAGTCTCTTGAGCGATTTGCCCTTCCCCTGCTCTTGTTCATCATTCTGCTCATGGCAAATGATCTTTTAAGGTTCCTATAGGTCCTGGTGGGGATCTTGAGGGTCTAAACTCCTCTGTGTGTAATGGTTGTCTCTCTGGGTAATAGTGGGCATCCCATTTTGTGTGGGGAAAGGTTTGGTGTGGCCTCTTCTGCCAGACAGTGTTGTGGTTAGCTGCTACCCCAGCTAATACAAAAGGTGAGCTTAGGAGGGATGCTAAAATAGGTGAAAGAAAACCAGATGCTTACTTGTCTCCAGCAGCACAAGTTTAATAAAACTAAATGTTAATAGTCTCTCACTTAATTAAGTGCTTGGGACTTTCTGTGCATATCCCAGGCGTCCTGTACAGTACTTACCATTCTCAGCAATCACGTTCTGGTTTGAATACCTTGCTCGTTA